CGTATATTATTGCCGTATGTGGGACTAGCTAATAGAACCAGAGATATATAATTTTCTTCATATGATTTCTGCATATTTCCAGTGATTTCATTTTCATTGAAAAGTATTTTAAAGGTTTAGATTTCCCCCAAAATTGAATGCCGACAAACGACATATCATGCATATTATAACAAAACAAATGAATTTTTAATATCGTAAAAAAATTAACAGCTTTCTTAATCCATATGTGCAACTCCCTATCTAGCAGAAATAATCCATGTCTGGGAAAACTAACTATGCGAACTCCATGCTAAAACGTTTACCACAATTTAGCACAAAGCATTAACAGATTGGCATTTTCAAAAAGTAACAAGCTTAATTTAACTTAGCAAGCAGCACTGAATGGTATCTTACGTGCAGAATAATTCTTCAATTCTACATCTTATATACAGAGAAATACGATTTACTGAATGTAAGAAATGAAAAGTTTACAATTAAAGGTAGTTTCAAAGATAAAAGAAACTAGTTTCTAAAAGTAACTTTTAAGCACTTAATACATTTTTAATCAGTACGTTCATACTTTATTTTTAAATTCCATGTAATGTAACTGCAATAAATAACTTTGATACTGACATCTTAATACTGTCTCATTCTGCATTCATGGAGGAAACTTCAAACTTATTAACTATCTGTAATTGAATCTTGTGTATGTACTTTTCGAGTAATATTGAAGTATTTTCTTCTGGAAATGCTAATTTTTATTGCCACAGCCTATTGAAACCCTGAAAATGTTCTAAATGATACATACAAATAAGAATACTTTTTAAACACAATTTTCCCTGAATAATTTCCTTCACGTCGAGGGCATTTTTCCTGCAATGGTCTATCATTACTCATACCCGAGTAACACTGGAAAGTCAATGATTTAGATCTCATAGCATGTTGGAAAAATATTTCATAATATAAAGGTATAAACGTATAAAGTACGAATATTTTTTCGCCGTGATATCATTTCTTTTAATCCAAACCCTTTTATATCAAGAAAATATACCAAAATCTAACCTTCAAAATTAGTATAAGTAGTTACATGTGTATACATTAGAAAATTAATAAATAACAAATTAATGATATAAAAACAAAACAAAAAATATTTCAAATAATTCACAACGAAAGCTACCAGATTGTTTTCATCTGATTATCCCAATCCAGACTCATTAGATGAAAAATTGAATTGTACCCATTTCTACCTGCATGACTTATAATATAAAGTTCAGGATGTCTCAGAATAAACATTACAAACTCCTACGGCATAGAGAGTGAACAAGAAGATCACCGTTTGCCAATGACCTGCGGTGGAAAATACCATAACATGTGGCATTGCCCCTGCCTGTTAGGCAACCGATCATGCAGCTGTGTACGGAAGGTACAAGGCGTCTCACTGCTTCGGAACGCAACACCGGCGTTGCCTATCAGGGGCAAATGTTGCACTTGAAACTCCCTTGCATTAAATTCCTCGTTCTTGGGCACAAAGCGATCATTTACGTTCTAACGCCTTGAAAGAGAGCCACACTCGTGCAGGGCCACCTGCCCGAGCGGCCCACTGTGAGCCGCTGTCGTGTTTGTGTATTGATCGTTGCTAGGAGACGGCGCCGCACTGCGTTGTGCTGCGTTCGCGTGCGCCGCCACTGCAGGGCTCGCCGCTCACACAGCCCTCGCCGCCTCGCCCGCACCCCCGCCACTCGCTCGGGCACGGCCCACTTTGTAGTAGTAATAATAATATTTATTCCCGTCTTTTTTTATTTTTATTTTATTTGCTTATGGTCGCTTCACAACACCCCAGGCCATTAGCGACCTCATTATGTTCACTTCAGGACATACAAAAAACAAACAATTTCAACGTTACAAACTATTGTGTCGCTACAGCATGTGAATTACACCATTGCATCATAAAAATTAGATATTTATTAGATTACATTAATCAATTTGCTTATTTCTAGTAATTTTAATTTTTTTGCAACCTTCTTCTGATTTGAACAGTATGTATAAGCTGTCTTCCATTTTCAATGATTTTCTAACATTATTCAGTCCTTGTCATTCCAGAATAATATGAGGATATATTTCCATCATGTTTCACAGACATCATGGTCATTGCATTTTCTTGGAATAACTATCGATAACCAGTTGAAAGGCTAGCAATACTGGTTTTAGAAGTTATTATCTGTCTAATGTTTCATTATTACGTTTTGTGGGCCCTACTTATTTTAGTTTTAAACTGATTTTTTTAATTATTACAGTCAAAGTCCATGTGAACATACAAAATATACAATTCTAGCACTGCAATAGAAAAAAGAGGAAAATTACCTAGATCTAACAGGTATATTTCCATTAACAAATGTAAAATTGCATAAACAAATGTATAACTTAACTTACACACAGACCAGTTGTAATGCAATATTTCAGTTTTCTTCTTTGTATCATTATCATGCTCTAAAATCCAAATCTACACATTGTATTTGATAATATTCTAGGACTGTTTTTTCATTGTAATTGGTAATTGATAATTTATTTGTGGCTCAATGCAGACGAAAATTATTATTATTACTACACATTCATTAATTTTAGGATTTTTAAATGAATTAGTATCTTTGCTATGTTTACTTTAATTGTGAAATATTCTATACACTAAATTATTTCCATTTTTAACATAGCTTTTGTAGCACTGTGTATAAAAAGAGATCCAATGGTAAAATGTTCAATTACTCATTTGGAGGAAATGATGAATCAGTCATATTTTTATAGATAGTATGGATAAGATTGCTTTGAGTTATTCTTAGTTTCTTAATAAGTAAAGAACGTTTTGTATATTCCTCCTGATTTTTGACTTGCATACTGCAGTTTTGAATTTATTAGATAATATAGAATTCTTAGTATAACAAAACATTAGCTGAAGATTGAGGGCAATTATGCTTGGAAAATTATCCAGAGATACGAAATACGATCATTTTTATATTAACTGCGTGTAATTTTTGTTTCTGCACGATCGAGAATGGGGGCTTTTCGCCAATAGTTATTGGGACGACTTTAATAACAGTTAAATTAAAGTTGTTTTAATTAATATGCACTTTATTTCTTACTACTCTTGTAAGCTACCGTACCGTACGAAAAAGTATTTTTCGCGCTGTGACGTCAGCATGAGAAAAGTCTTTTACGCACGGTGACACGTTTTTCAGATTTTTTAAAAAAAGACTAACTTCATGCACGCGTAGAGGTACGTATAAACCCTCATTTTTATTATCGTAGAAAACAACCTTTATTATCGTAGAAAACAACCTTTAGAAATAACTTCGTCTGGACTAATAGTGATTGTTTTTGTTGACAATATGATCGTCCTTGAGAAACATTTACTTTTGAACAAGTGATAAATAAATTAGAAAAATCTCGTTGTACCTTCAATGCCTACCTTACAGTGGTATTGCAGTAAAAGACCTTTTCAAAAGTGTCAGACATCAGAGCACCACACATCTTACATACCAACACCCCTCTTATCAGCGTCCGTAGGAGTCACTTCGCACGACAAACGACGAGAAAGATTCACCATTATTTACCCACTTCTAATTGAAATTATTGGTACTTCAATGATGCGTCGACTTTTTGGTATAATTCACATCGGTTAAATTAAGTTATAAACATTATTTTTCAACTAGTTACTTTACTAATAATATTTAATCATCTCTTGCAAAACTCCCTCCATCATCAAACTTCATAAAATAGAGTGTTCATTTCTAAATACTTCTTTCTCTGTCAGTTTTTCAAAAATATTAGACAGTTATATATATTGGAAACATTTCACAGTAAAGAAACGTTTTCACATTTTTTTCACACGTTTTCGTATTTTTTAACAATACTTTACTGTGCAGAATAATTTCTCGCATATATTGTGATTACCATCATTCGATATTCTTTCCAAAAGAAACAAAGTGATTGTTTTACCAGAACATGCAACAGACAACCCCTGTCTATGACATCGTTCCAGTCAATGTATATAATTAAAATAATATACCATTATCTTTACCTTATTTTTTGCACATTCAATATCTCACTGTTATACAAGGAAATTAACGTATTTGATTTCGAAAATACTGGACCATCTTTTGTCTCCGTCAGCCACCAAATTGCTTCTACTGGAGAGTAGTTATTTATGTTTTTAAGTCCGGTACAAAGGTCAAGTGTATGGAGAGAGGATTTAAATTTGGAAGTGGCCAGCTATTAAATTAGATGCCCGGGAAGAAGAGTTTAATGCTCTGGAGAGATGGGAGAGACTTATGGAGAATCTATACGGCATGCATTCTTCATTTGTTGAAATGTTGCCAACCTAAAGAATTGTACTTCAAAAGTAGTTTTGCCAACCGTACGGTGATTGAGGTGCAGCACAACAGTGGTGATTAAATGGATGAAGTTAGTAGTAATGATGAAAGACGAAAAGATATGTTTATAGTGAAGTTGGAACACAAATTTGTTCCCTTGATAGCGGGTTTTTGATTTATGCGACGAATTTCGTAAACCTAGAAGGCCGCAGTCTCCAAGCTGCTTTGGGAATGCAATAGAAGAATGCGTCGTAGAGACTCGTGTTTGTTTTTGCCAATTACGAAGGCCAAAGTCTCGTCGTTAAATTTGACACGCGTGGCGGAGCGTCACTACAAGAAACGCCTTACAAGAAACCTATGTAATTAAAGTACGATTTGAAAATTAAAATGAATTTTATATCTTTCCACCTTGGATATTCTTTGTACCTACTTAAAAAATACACAAGTATTTTTTATGTTGGATAATCAATCCAAACTTCACTTTCAAAATATATGAGGTTGATTCTGCAACAGACAATGACCAAATATGATGTCGACACCCAGTGAGTAAACTACATCCGATTTCGTAATTAATCAAGATATTAAGTTGACAATGGATTACTGAGAATTTCAGTTAATACATCAAATATTTCGTACCTGTAATTTGAAAAAAATTATTAAGTATAAGATGTCTAAGATGATGAAGTCTAAGATGATGATATAAAAAGGTATAAAATAAAATTTTTTACTTCAAAATTTATATTTTAGCCAAACTCAAATTCTGGAAATTGATGAGAAATACACATAACATTTAGATATTGCTCTTGAAAAGTTTAGTTATTCTTCTGGTGAGTGAGTAATTCTCATCTTCAAGCTTTTCAACTTCATCAAAATGATCAACTCCATTTACAACAAGCAATTCATTTTTCTTACTGCCTTTTTCTTTTAGAGCCTGCAAAAAAACATAATAGAGTTGAATCAAGATACGAAAAATATTTTAGAAATGCTTTTAAAAAGAAATCAACACAGTACTTTGCTACAGTTGAATTGTGAAGGGAACTTACTTTCTATTATTTATATAGTATAAAGTATCTTTATACAGAGTGGCATTTCAAAGAGTTCGGAAACAGCAAAATAAATAGTGCACCAAAATACATAATAAATAATACACATGTCTTCTCATAGTAAAATTAGCAAAACTGACTACTCTTAGTTTGCCCTACAGCTCGTTAACTTTCATAAAACTAGTGGCGCTACAGAAAGGCGCTGACGTTTTCGTTCTAGTTAGTTTTCTAATCTCTTTATTCTAGATTGACTTTCTAGATTTGCATCAGTCTTATCTATCTATTTCTATCAGCACCTAAAAATTGTTTTGTCATCTCTTAACAGTGGCATTGAAACACGACTTGAATATTGTAAGAGTGAAACATAGTTATATACGCAAATTTTCAATTAAAAATTTGAAGCTTTTGAGAAAAGTTTGTTTGAGCTCAACTAACAATACACAATTAAACACATTTTCACAAAAAAAATAGATATTGAGAATCTTTATGGGAAATAATTTGAATCAATTGTACACATAAATGCAATAATATATAAAAACACCCTTAAAGTGAATATTAAAGACGAACGAGATATTTAAAAAACTACGTTTAATTTTTGAAAAAAACTCAAAATGGCGTTCATAACATCAGTGGATTTAACACTACCCGCCATTCCTGACTGATGCGGTGTCCCGCTGGCGCGTGATAATAAGGCAAAATCTGTGCAAACCGACGTAAGTTGGCGTAGAATTTCACCATGAAGCGAGGAAAGATTAAGCCACCTCCCACGATAAACACATGTACTGCACTTAGGGGACTGATGACCTTAGTAGATAATACGGCCGAAAAACTAAACGGTATAAAACATGTAAAAATATCGAAAATAATATTTTTGGCCAATGAACATTCAATGGACATATTCATTTATAACATATCTACACGTAAAAAATTGTGTTCGTGTCTGGGGTTCAGACCATGTTTAATATATGTATATATTGCTAAATCCGAATCTGGTGTCCATTTTACATCACATAAGGTTTTCGACATAACCTTAAAAATAAAAAAAAGAACTAACCGAGGAGTCAAACTACGCTATCTATCTGGTTTTGGGGTCGCTGAAATCGAATCTGAAGTTAATTTAACTTCATCACATCAGATTTGTCCTGTAACCTAAAAAAAAAAAAAAAATTAAAAATTTGTGTCTGCTTGGATAGACGGCTAGTGATCTGGCGCCGGCGATATAGGCAATCTGCCATACAACGTGATGAGTGTTGTGCCATCAGGAGCTAATGCCACCTTCTCTATCAATTATAATTGACTTGAATTTTAAAAAATCTGATGTGATGAAGTTAAATTGACATCCTATTCGGTTGGTTTCAGCGACCCCAAAAACATATAGGTAACTGATCTGAACTCTCTGTTAGAAATATCTTTCATTTTTATACTTTTTAGGTTATGTCAAAAAGCTGATGTGATGGAATGAAATAGCAGATTCGAATTTGGCGACCACAAAAACATATAGAAAATATGGCCTGATTCCCAGATAGAAACACAATTTTTTGTGTAGCTATGTAATATAGCATTTGCTCCTTTTTAGGCAACCTTGGATGTGTAGGCGTTAACATCTACCTAGGCGGCTGCGTTGACGGCGGCAGAACGTGACCTACCTCAAGACCTGCGCGTACGGAGTTGCCTTACAATCGAGGGCTAATGCCACATGCGGAACTTCATTATGTTTCCCTACACGTTTCTTGGCAAAACGCGATCTCTTTCTACCACTCTGCACGTCTTAGAAGTTTGTAACGTTTAATTAAGAACTGAATTGAATTGAAGCCTTATTTTACTTGGCGATACTCAGGCCATGAGAGCTGCTCTTCTGTCTGACCACGTTAATTTCGCTACGCTCCTTTCACCAACTAGCGGAGAAAAAAGCTTTTTTTTGGGGGGGGGGGGCAGACAGGTGCTGAATGGACTTTCTATTCGGTTTAAGAGACCCCAAAAACATAAATAACTGGTCTGACCTCTTGGTTAGAAATATCTTTCATTTTTATACTTTTTTGGTTATGTCAAAAAGCTGATGTGATGGAGTGAAATAGCAGATTCGAATTTGGCGACCACAAAAACATATGGGACGGGTTGAATTTAGCACCGAGGCTTCATTTAGTCTTGAGTATCTTTTACATGCAGTAGATCTATGAACACGGGACAGCTGAATTTACTTTCCTCCAAAGGAAAGATTTTTTTGCCCTTAAAAACCCACGGTTTCCATCTGGTTTGTACCTGTCAACGTAGGTATAACAGTCGGATACGCTAACCGTTACACCATGGCCGCACGTTTATTCTGTGGCCTTTCACCATAACACCTTACAAGGAGAAGTGACATGACGTGACCATCATTAGAACTCGCGACCCTTAGCACCGAGACGATCTAGTCATATCCGTCATCCAGGACGGTTTTTACTAAATTTCAAAGGCGGATCAGAAACCAATCGAGTACTAAGCACCTGAACGAAAAAAGGAGCAGGAATAATCCCACGAACATATGTCCAAAAATGCACTTCCATTGTATAATTTTACCACTGCATTTTCTGATAAGAAGTGGCGTCATCATTGTCGAGCTGAGATTGTTCAGAACAACAATTGAATTGTTTATTTCAGAAACCCGTCAAAAGCCAAATTCCTCATTGCAAGAAAACTGAGACTAAGTCCCCTAATTTTTCATTCATCAAAATATTTTTTTTTATTAAAGGAGTTGATAAATAAATATTTTCAATATAAATATGCATTAAACAATGTGTCTCTCCTTCTGGAACAATATACCATCGCTAAAACATGTTTTATATTTTGACGATTGACGGTTTTCTGAAATAAACTATTCAATTGTAGTCACTACATTGTTTCTGACCGGGAGCCCGACGGTGGTAGGATTTTCGACAGTAGATGCATAGCTATGTGGAATTGAGCAGGTCTGGAGGAGAATTCTGGCAGCTGGTTATTTGATCGCTAGTTTCCCATGATTTCCCCAATCAGCACCAGGCGAATGATGAAGCAGTACCTTGTACACGTAGGCTTCCGCGGCTCATATCGTAGGCTTCTTCAGGGTACTTTCTCTGCCAACGACGCGGCGTCACCCGGACAGCCTAGAAGTGATGAACTCGAGCCGCAGAAGCCTACGTGTACATTTATTAAATCTCCACGGGGAGAACATTTTTCAATACACCAAGAAATTTAGAAATTTGTGAGACAAACGGGCACGCCTCCTGTTCCAACTGGTCTTCTTATAACACCGGAGGCAGAGCTTTACTGTGTCACTACCCTGAAGAAGCCTGCGACATGACAGGCGAAACGTCGGCCTCTCTGCCACCAACGACGCGGCGTCACCCGAACAGCCTAGAAGACATACTGGTCATCTTCAGGGTAGTGACTACCCTGAAGAAGCCTGCGATATGACAGGCGAAACGTCGGCCTCTCTACCACCAACGACGCGGCGTCACCCGGACAGCCTAGAAGTCATACTAGTCATCTTCAGGGTAGTGACTACCCTGAAGAAGCCTGCGATATGACAGGCGAAACGTCGGCCTCTCTGCCACCAACGACGCGGCGTCACCCGGACAGCCTAGAAGACATACTGGTCATCTTCAGGGTAGTGACTACCCTGAAGAAGTCTGCGACATGACAGGCGAAATGTCGGCCTCTCTGCCACCAACGACGCGGCGTCACCCGGACAGCCTAGAAGTCCGGAGCAGTACCTTCACAAACGGGCCATGGGCAGCGAGCTCTCTTTCCTTCGACACCCTTGACCTCTCCTTTTCCATTGCACGCACTATTTCAAGCACTTCACTGCCACATGTGTCGGAAACATAGAGCTTGTCCCTGCCGGGGGTTGACGCTCGCTGCCGAAGATACCTCGAGGTCAACAATGCGACACGTAAGTCGGCCCCGATCACACGTTCCAAGAGGAACATTACCATTTCCACTACACTTACGGGACTTAGAAGTTGACGCTCCCATAATTAATAAATTAAACGTCTTCACTGTTCGCTTGGGCATGATCATTCTTAATCATATTTTCTAAAAAATAAACCAAGCCAGGCTATTCGGGTATTTGGTTTCAGAACCATTTTGTCTCTTATTCACTCAGAAATCTCCCCTGTAAATCCGAGAGAGTTCAGTTTAACACTGAACAATATGAAAAATTTTACACAATATATTAAGTATGGGTAAATATAAATTCAATTATATTTCTTTACTGTTTTGTTTAATTATAACCTTTAGTGCACAACACACTGAATATTGAAATGGAAAATTTATGTTTGATATTTACAAGCCTCTTCTATGTTTTCACTCTGCGTTTATTAAAATATAGAATAGACGTCATAAAATGATTCATAAATATCACTCTTATTGCTATTCATGAATATCCTAACTAAAAAAACAAAATATAATAGGTATTGAAGTATTAATATGCAATGTAATATAACTCACCTTTAATAACGTTTCAGTTTGTTTAAAAAATTCTGGCGAATCGTGTTCTGCTAAAACAGTGAGGAAGTGGAGCGATTCCATTGAAACTGTTGGAAGAAGGTCGAGATGATGCAAGGGGCTATGCGAGCTGATTTCTTCTCTAAGGAAAAAATATTTTGCTATTAATATGAATTCAGAGAAAAGTAATGACCACAATTTCTATTTTTATGTTCTAAAAACTCGTGTTTTGGGTGCCGTACGAATATACGAATTCTAACACAAATCAAAATATAGTCAAAGTGCAAAATTCGCAATAGTAGAAAGAATATTATGTTGTATATTTATTTTCACAATTCCAATGTATTTTTTCTGAAATTAAGCACCCATCTATAAGACATAATAATTTGTTTCTGAATAGAATCTCTCTAAAACTTCAAATCTGTCCGTGTTTTGCACACAGACATCTATCCACATACATAGACATCATGGTAAACACAACAACACTTTTTTACAAAGGGGCCGTCGAAACGTGAATGACTATCGAAATATAGACTTTTGGACTACATCCAATTTTTTTCCGATCTATACAACGTATAGTCAAGGAAAAGTAAAAACCAGGGATGAAAGACGGATTGAAGCGCACAACATGGCGACCTCATTTCTGATATGATACGAAGATCTTAAGATAATGCATGTGGCGATGGCCTAGGTCGAAATAAATGGTTGACTCATATTAGAGGCCAGAATCCGGATGTAGGACATTTTTCTTTAAAATGATCAATAAACAATCCTAACAAAGTATTTTCTGTTACTAACAACATATTAGATTTATAAGTAAATTGATGAATACTTTATGTGAGATACTTTAACAGTATATTTAGTTTGTAGGGTTATCGACTTTGTAATAAAGTGAACTAATTAGGAATATTAAATCCGTCTCAATCTACTATCAATCAATATCTTTTATATTTTTAAATAATCAGCATTCGAGCATTACAATCACCAATTGTCTGTTTAGATGTGATCGTTATACGTGCTGAAATGTGTATGTAGTATCAGTTGTTCCGTTCCTGTGTCTGTGTGGAAATTTTGAGTCTTGGAGCAAGACAATGGTAAGCGCCACACCGACCACTTTTAGATTACAACATGATCACTTTGTTTCCTTGTTGTACTTCTCATCTACACATTTAGTTTGGTGTTATCTGTCACGTAATAAGCATTTTTAGAACCAGCTTAAATGTGTCTCCGATTACACGGAGGGCAAGATAAAGGTAAGCGTCATTCTCAGTTAGAAAATGGACGTTATGAGAAAGAAATTGGTGTTTGGCGATGGAATTGCGGTGTAAACAATCCTTCCATTCTTAAGAAAATTTAGAAATTGTCACAAGTAATGCTTAATATACACACACATAAATGAAGATAATGAACACATTTCTGAAATAATTTAATTTGTAATACAACGTTAACATCATAGCCATGTTAAATTTAGCAACCGTATTATGTATGGAGTAAAAATATTGACTAACGCATTCAAATTAAGTGTACAAATTTAAAATTTAAAATGATTTTATTTATTAGCGGAATCCGGCTGACGTTCCGCTCTTTGTCTCCCTCTTCTTCCTCCCCCTACCAAAAAAGGTAACAGAATGTTCAAAAATCTCTCATCCTGTAGGTTGCATTGTAAGAAACGTCTTTTGAGGCTTTTCGTCTCAAAATTTTAGTTTCTTGAGTAATAAATGCTGTAATTAACCGGACTTTTTATATGTCTTGTCTCATGAATATAGAAGGAGGGAAGAGAAGACGGTCAAAAACTAATGAATGATGACAAAAGCAGCACATTCAATGGTATTACTAATTTCCCATGAGCGAAAATTTGTTGGTCGATATTAATTCAAAATATATCAATATTACAAACTTGTTCCTCTTCATTCCTCAACGGTACCGAGGATTCTTTAGTCAGTTATGATGAGGAAATACATTATGTGGAAAGGCAAAATTACTTGCATTGAAGTCGGCAGTAAATTGCAAACCATGGAATACATCTTCTTAGCAGGACATTAATATGTAATTAATCATGTTTGTAATATAAATTGTAGTTATAATTTTTAAATATATCTTGATTGGTGTTAATGAAAATCTTAAGGGCACGATAATGGTGGGCGCCCTTTCCTAAGAATACTTAAGTAATAATGTGTTTCACATATGATATAATTTGCATCTTAATTTGATGAAGTTAAGGTCAAAGCTACATTCAATACAATAAATTTGGTTTCAAGTCCAATATAAGACAAGATTCATAGACAACAATGAACCTTGTTTCCGCGATATTTCTACACCGCTTACAATTGTCATGCTCTAAGTCATAGAATTTATCTGAGGCAGACTCTTTAAGCCACCTCACTTGGCGGGGCTCATGAACTAAAGTCAGAGGTGAATGAGAGCAGGGACTCTAGGAATACCGCGACACTACAAAATTTACTCCTTGCAATCGGCACGCCACATGAAGTATTCATAATAAATTGCAAGCATCAACATTAAAATATTTCGATATGCATTCATTCCAAGGTAAATGAACCGCCTTGCTGTGAACCAAAGAAAGTTTGTACTCACTGAGTAAGCTGAAGGGCAGCATTATGCTTCGTGTAAACCAAAGGAGCTAAATCGTATAGACCGCTTATCAATACCACAGAAGTAAATAACTTTTGTTTTTCCACTGGTAGAGAACGAAACCACTTTGAAGTTAACAAAGTGAGAATAAGGGTGGCTCCAGCGCAGTGGCCAACTAAAATGATTTCTCTGCAAAACAAAATTCATTATTTTTACATGGAGTTCATTAAAGCACGGTGATAATTCTGTATTAATTATGTAGGAAAAAATATACGTAGTGGGGTTCATGTTAACTCCCAATGGACGTTAGCACAGCCATTTCTCAAAATATGTGAATAATGCAGGTGCGGATCCATGGGGAGGGAAATGAGGGACGTCCCCTAAAATTTCTCAGTAACTATTAATTCTAACTTGTCACGAGACTTCTAAGAAAAAAAAATCGTATTATCATTAAATCAAGTACAATCTATCTCAGCATGAGCTGAGTGTCTGCCACATTTTATAAAATCTGAAAAATGATATATCCCACGAAAATATTTTGAATTTCCCCTCCCAAAATTCAACCCTTCATCCGCCCTTGAATAATGCAAGTATCTACACCAAACTATACTCAGATATTGCTGCTTTTTCAAAAACTGATTAGTAAAGAAATCAGATTGATATCTCAACTTTTTGAAAAAAATATTTACGAAAAGCATTAAAGCATGGCTTAAGGCATTAAAACATCTCACAAAAATACTTCCTATTAATAATGCTATTAGCAATACAAACATGTAATCAGAATATCCAGCTTATTGCCAAACGATTTCAGAAACAAGTCAGAATAATATCTCAACTTTTGGAAAATTATTAACAAAATTTAAAAATGGGGAAAGGTATTAATAAATTCCTTCAAATTTGAATGAATCAGTAGAGCTCACTTCTAAAATTTAGGTCAGTCGACCCCTCCCATTGTGTTGTCTAGGCTATCCGGGACGAGCCGCGTCACTGACATGGTGGCTAACGTTTCGGCCAGGGTATTGTGGCCTTCTTCAGAACGTAAAGCAGTACGCTCTGCAGAAGGCCACAATACGTTGGCCGAAACATTAGCCACCATGTCAGTGATGCGGCTCGTCCCGAATAGCCGAGACAATACAAACTCCGGCCTCGGAATCCTACGCAACCATACCTCTCCCATTGTCATTTTGCGAACCATCACCTTTTGAGTCTAGCCGCTATTGACCCTTATACTTAACGTGCTATCCTAAGCAACAATTTTCATTATCATCTGTATTATTTAATCAAAACTTACTTAGAACTATACTTCTCTGCCAGTTCCAATATAAACTTTCCTGATGAATTAATTTCTTCCACAATATCGCCCAATTTAACTGAAAAATAGAAGCAACAAAAGAATGATGTAATACAATTTTAGAATTATTTTCAAACATTTATTAGTGTAATATATCTTTATTTAGTAATTACTCGTAGAATGCTGAAATTTACTTGCTCACACTTTTTTTAAATAAATAAGCATCATCTATTAACTTCGGATAATTAAAATTAATGTCATGAGTGAAAAACGCCATTTGCCAGACGCAGATCCATGAAATGCCTAAGGAGGATGTACATGAACAACAAAGGTCCCTGAATGGCGAAACCTTCATTTGATGCAAATTATGTTGCAAGACACACACACACACACACATTCGATTTACAATAATATATCATTAACTGTCTTTTTATGTACAATTCATGTAATATTATATGAGGAAGTGGAAGAACAGATGCATTCACATATATCTATGCTCGAGGCTGGAGAAGGCACCACCCTCTTGGATCCGATTTTAACAAGAGCAATCGGCTCTAAAAGCGTACAAACAACTTTTCTAAACCTCGGAACACTCTGTAACATAATATTCTGGCACGTAACATTTTGTTTTCTTACCCTCACAATTCGGAATTGGCGATCAGTACTACGTTGCAAAAAATGCACTTATCATATGTTTTTAAATTCACAAAATATAATCTTAATAACAGTAGAAAAATATACGCATGAACAAATTAATGTTTTAACCTTAACGTGGAAATGCGTCTAAATGCTTCGTGTGTTGGTGTTAGCACATTTTTCTCCGTGTATAATCACATCAGATTCATGTTCAGCCTCGATGAACCTCAGTGGTGCCTCAATCCATTATGTGCTTTAAGTATTTGCTTAAAATACTTTATTTAAAACTTTAAATTGTTATTCAAGAATGGAACGTAGGTCTGATAATTATCGTATTTCAGTATACTTTTACATGTACAAATGTGTGAAATGTTTGCTCAGGTTCAGCCAGTACTGCAATATTTTTAATTATATTTGCAATAATAGTTTCGGTAACAAAATGCAGATTTTTCCTTTTGTAAATTGTCTACAAGAGTCCATTGCAGCTTCTCGATGAGGAAATTATAAAAGCTGAAAAACGCAGTAACATAATTTCTTCATCATTAAATTATTAATCGTGAATTTAAAATAAAATAAAATTATTAATCCTGAAATGAAATTTCACACTAAAAGTATCCTACATTGTAGTACCTGCAGGTGCAAGATCGTATCCCAATACAACTACTCTTACTCCGGCATTATACAAAGGTTGTACGCAGTAGCTTGATATTTGGCGGTTTAATGCTTGCCAGTAGCCTCCATGTATGTAAACCAGAATTGGAGCTCCTGAAATAATAAGCAAAGGCAAACAACAAAAAAGAATTAGTCGTAAATGTTTTAACGGAAGAACCAAAAGTCACACAAAGCAAGAGTTCAAAAGTATTTTTTTGTATATAAACAACCTTTTCTGTCGCAAGAAATTGTTCATAATCGGTCATTTTACAGTACAAATGATGACGTGTCACCATTTTAAGGCACGAATGATTGCGTCATCACATATTCAGTCAATTGCAGCGATAAAATCGTGGGGGATAGAGGTAAGCGACACAGCCGACTACCGTTTTCTCGCAAAGGTGTCAAAATACCCAAGACGTCACAAGAAAGTTGTTTCGTAAAATTAAAATTGATTCTGTTATAAATTTATAATGCTATTATACAAAAAATAGCGTATGCAACTCGTTTGTAATGTTGCTTTATTGTATTCGTACAAAATTTGAAAATTCACTCGTAACGTCGCTCGTTTTTAAAACATGTACTCATGCAATAAAGCTTAACATTATAAACTAATTGCATAAAATACTATTGTAAACGCACGTGTACGACCTTAAAGCAAATTTCTAGTTTGGAGATATTCTGTAACACGTGTGAAAGCGCCAATGTCTATGCCTAATGCATGACCCTCATTTCGGATGATTAAATGAATCAACTTGGCAGATGCGTTTAAATATTCATTCATTGTGAATATTCAAGATTATAGAGTGACTTATGTCATTTCGAAAACATCAACTCAATTCGAAAATTGTAGCTTTATTTTGAAATATTGTAACTTTCCTACTACTCGCGACTTTTCTGTGCTCACTCTTGGTCTGGATGGAATGATTGAATTATTGTTCGTTATGAACCTTTTATCTGTTATCTAGATTAATGGGCAATATGTATTCAGGCAGCTCGTCATACATCAGTAAAATATTCTCTTACGCTACAGATACGTTTTTCGTGGGTCTCACAGAGAAATTAACGCACAGCACAGACTAGCGATTTCAACAGCGTAGATAAAGGTTCAACGAAATCCAACGGGTAAGTTATGAAACACAACACTTGCAAATATTCTTTCATACTACCCTTTGGAAGTGAATCTCCTCCAAAGATATCAGCTCGTTGACCTTCCGATGATCCGTAAGGAACATCCAATTGGCAGGGCACTTTACTTTTCGTTTCTTCACTGGCTGAAACAGAAACAGTATTGTTCTCTATTGAGTTTCATACATGTCTAGTACATAGAGCTAAAACGCTAAAACCATAAAATATTGTTTAAAGAGATAATTGTTCAATATACTCCTGCACTAAAAGTAAACGTTTTCGTAAATTTTTCAATAGTATGATCACATGAAGCCCTAGTGATGTGTAAGATCGAAGGAAAGTATATCATTGTCAGTAAAGTTGCCATATTTTATAGAAAAATGTGCTCCTTTTTAATGCTAAATAATAAACTTTACCAAGGTGTGCAAAACGTTTTCGCAAAATTAGCACCATCCAACGATTCACACATTAATTCCAGTTACTTTACACGAAGTCCCAAGGACATTTTCGAAAGTTTCTCAAATATGTTTCGATGCATTTTTTACTCCGTCTGAGAAAGGTTTGGGCCCGGATAATTATGAAATTACATGTTTTCGTAAGTTAAATCTGTCAAGTCAAATCACACATATGCTCCCATTTCATATCGCCTAGTGCCTCAAAACGTCATTTTAATACATATACTTGCGACTTGGTGCAAGAACGACCAATGTCAATATTCAACGTTTTACAGAATGGATGGTTTACTTACACTATCGAAATGACAAAACAATCGCAGGGGAATGTAAATCAATTTGTAATTTGGAGATAGGATCGACTTTTGACTTTGGCCTTTCCCTGAAAGAAGTGGCTTTAAAGCACTCATTGGCCATATAAACAGAAAATCACTGGAAACTGACATTGGTCCTTCTTGCACCGAGCCATAGCTATATTTACAATTTTTGAGTTAAAATCGCGGCGCCCCACGGCGCTGTAATTTCACCGCTAGGGGCTCCGTAGAGCCCGAGGGCCGGCCGCGGCGTCGCTTGGAAAACAAGTAACAAGTGGATTTGTAACCGTAGACGGGAGCGCGCTCATCAAACCGACCGGTTCTGAAAGGGGCTGCGTGCGGTGACACGCGATAACCGACCTCACAGACAACAACCGGCGCTTCATAGACACCAAATACCGCTTGTTTTTTTTCATAAGTCGACTCCTGTGGTCCATCACAGTGTCAATAATACGAGAAAGTATGTTGTGAGTGCCACCTCTAGTTTTCCTCAGTAGGGCTTCTGTAGGGCATTTTGTTATTTTTTCGTATTTAAATGGTTGAAAAATTGCGCCAAAAATTACTTAAATTATTTTTGTTTTTAATATTGACTATTTAGAATACTACTCCTACCCTCTTATGTTAAAAAAATACCGTATGCAGAGAAAAATGAAATGTAAGATTTTTTTTTATAAAATGGAGGTAATGAGAGGAGGTTCTGAAACGCGTAAATCGTATTTTTTTGGGCCCCCAAAAATTGCATCTTTACTTGGTTCAAAACGTTTAAAGGCATTATTTTACATTCTTATTCCTCTTTTCTTTAAAAAAAAAAACAAACTTCGTTTGCATTTGACGCCAAAAAATTTTCAAAAGAGTATTGTTTGTTTCAACGTCTGTAATGAACCCTCGCTCCTACACTACATCTAGGATTTCCCCCAAACGGACACTTCTTGGCCTATTGGATATTCATGGACAACTGTCTCATTTCAAGGCCCTGCAAAGGGTATTCCCGGATGAGATTGTAAAAGTTCCCTAAAACCAAATAACATATGAGTAGTTAAACTTTAACTAAGATAAAAATAAGATTTTTGCAAGGTTTCTTAACCCTCCTCCAGCCACCTCACCCTTTGTAGCCAAAAACGTGTTTATATTGTAATTGCGTTTGTGAATATAATATTAACTTTTCTAATTGAAAGAAAATGGAAATAATTGATACTATCATAAAAACATTTTTCAGTATAATGATCGCTCAACATGTGTTTTTCCGTCAAAATCTCGCTGTTGATTTTTGCAGTATTATGTAACGTGCTCTTATTACCTGTATACAAGAAGGTAAATACACTCTTTTGGTCAGGTACCCTTCAAACGCGTATTTCCGTCAACATCACTAAGTCTTTTTTAGCATTACATACATGTATATGTAATAACGGAATGGTAAAAACCTATACAAGAATAAAATTTACTGAAATATTATTACGCCGACAGAAGGTATTTTTTTCGATTTGAACATCTATTAAAATAATATTTTTATTTTCAATTTTCAGATATATAGCTCACATTCAAATAGGAAATTCACGATATTAATGGTAATACCCGAGAAATCAGTAAAACACAATTCTCCAGTTTCCTGGACCTACCTATGCCACGTGCCCGTGTTCTTGTTGTATCAAAGCTTTGTGCAAAGTGACCCTGCAAACCCGCGAATGCAGGTTCGAGGAAAGGCAGATTCTGTGCAAAAGACCCAACTGCAGAGAGCTATTGCAACAGTTGCGAGTAAGAGTTACATAAACAGCATTCAAAATGTACTATTTTTGTCCTACATGTATGACTACGCAAGTTGGCCTTGACGTTTCTGGGAGAAGCGATAACTGTTTTTTAATGCACGATAATGTTTTGTAATGCACGGGAATGGAAATGTAATAAAGAGTAATAAAACAATTGTTTGTATTATAGATAATGAAGGAGTGTGGGCGACGAAACATGAACAAAAGTATCTTGGAAGTCAGTTGAAATGCCTTTTTTGTGTATGTGTGTTAGATGCAAAGAAGTACTGTGTAGAAAGAAGAAGTGTGTGTATTAGACTATTTCGTTACTAGCTTTATAGTATTTTCTTTCTCTCTTTCTGCGATCCCGTGTGTTATTTGTCATTAAAAACATTTATATTTTGTCGTCTTCATTTAATCATGTCGTAATATTTGAAACTAGTCTTTACTTTCACTTTTGTTTCAAGACTTCGAGTAATTTTCGTCAATGATTTTCTGACATTTCTTTACATTCAATAATGTCTGCCGAATTATTTAAATTGTCCTTTCCTGAGTGTGAGGTAATATCAAAATAGGATTTCATGGTAGTAAGAGAAGTATGAATTGAAATATTAGAGCTTTTCATATTTCCGAAGATTTACCTTGTAAACAAATACATTTTGCCAAGAATTTTAACAGTATTCTTACAAGATTATGTTTTATTAATAAGAGCAGTTTTATTATATAATAATTTTTCTTCCGTCATCGTGGAAGTTCATTCATAATATTTTGAGAAAATATTTTACAAGTCAATTGCATTCGTTAATAATATGCGCTTCTCACTAACAATTAGATTTCGGTTAAAAATTAATAATTTATTATGCAAGACGATAAAGAGGTAAATTATCTACAAAAGGAAGGTATTACCTCACGAGCTCCTAAAGTTGTTCGTGGAGTATCTTAGTCGAATAGATAAAGTCGTCTTTGTTTTGACGTATGAAATGCAGTGAAATCTCTCTGAATGACAACCTCTCTCAACGACCGATTTTTCTAGAAACTGACACTGAATTCCACATATTGTATGAACTGTACATTACACCCTCTTAATAAATAATCCCTCCCTATGTCTATCCACCAGCCAAGGTAATTTTCTTAGTTTACCTCTCGTAAGGGACCAAAAATAAAACGGCAGAAATACTACAGGGAAAATTCAGTGTACTTCTAATCAGGAGAGAAGTACAGGTATCATTTGTTATGAGTAATTTGTATCATTTTATTTATTACCAAAACTATTATAGCTTTGCCACTTATTAATAGAGAGACATCTTACATCTTCGTTTCACGTCAGTTCAAATCACTAATGAAGTTACCAATCCAGGAGCAAGAGATAGTTTAAAAACGCAAACATCGTGTTTCAACTGTGGTCACAATAGTGATACGTACCAAACGTATTTCCATCCATACTGCACGCGTAAAATATTTTCCATTGCACTTTTTCAAAAATGAAAAGTTTTTGTGTCAAAATTAAAATTCGTTACCTCAAAGTATTGGTACGGCTGTGCCTTGAAGATAAGCCTAGTAAGTGCCGATCCATTGCTGTGGCGCCGCTTTACGAGTTCCCGACCTTCTACATCGGAAGCCATGGCGTAAGTGGCGTGAGGTGGGCGAGCCCAGGTGAAAGAGGGCCTATTTTGCGGCGGAAGGTTTTGCTTGTATGAATTGCGTGCGTCAGGTTTTGCTATTGAATTGAATTGAATTGAATTATGCCTTATTTTACGTGGCGAGACTCAGGCCATCAGGCCCGCTCTTCCGTCTGACCACGCAAATTTCGCTACACTCCTTTCATCTAGCAGAGAAAGGAGGTATTTCTTGGGCGAGAAACAGGCGATTTGAATTTAGCTCAGAGGCTACGTCATTTAGGCTTGAGGATCTTTTACATGCAAGTAAATCTACGAACAAGGGACATCCGGATTTACTTCCCCTCCGTATGAAGGATTTTTTCGCCCTTAAAAATCCACGGCTTCGATCGGGTTTGAACCCGCCAACTTGGGTACAATAGTCCAGTACCCTAACCGTTACACCATCGCCGCCAATGCTATTGGGTATGTAGTTATCTTAGACTGATGAATATGAATGTGTTGAAGCATGTTTTTGTTATAAAAGGTACTAACGCTACTCGTGTATGCTACACACTTTTATAAACGGGTACGGATAAGAATATTACGGTGGAGGGTGCCGCATTCATTTCGTTAAGATTCCGGAGGTACAGCGCGGCGAGACTGCTAAGTACAATAGAACCCCGGTTTCCGAACTAATTAGAGGTGTGGTCTGTTCGGATTACCTAAAAAAATATACCGTACACATACAAATACGTCTATATGATTACCAGACAGTACAACGTAGCGTGCGATGCGAGCAAATTGCAACGTAGCGTAGCGATCGCATCATTAAACAGATTCAGTTCCTTACAGCAAAAGAAGATTACCGATTTTACAAGTTCCTCTAAGTGAAAATTACTGCAACATAAACCTGTAACATACACCGTAGTTACCAGTGCAATAAAAGTTTCATTTCGACAAATTGTGTTTCAATAATTAGTTGTTCATTTCTATATTATTATAAAATCCTTTCTTTACACTGCAAATATGCGTTTTATTTCTTTTTCCTCCATCCCGAATTTTCTTCGGATAATCCGAAATTTCGGAATTGCGAGGTTCTACTGTAGCTAGGCCGCCCTGTACGGTTCACCCTAGGCGAGACCTGGGATGGGCTTAAGAATCAGGTTAAGGTACACGAGTTTCTTTCCCTCTCCTATAATGCCACGAGCGCTTCTAAAGTTTACGGTGGGAGGGGGAGCATCCACGAACGAGTGCCAATCCGGAGCGCAGACGCTGCCTCAAAAGTTAGTCTAGTTACACTAGTCGGGATGCCTCGTAGACGTATTTTACTTGGCTGCCCGGGTGACGCCGCGTCCATGGCGAAGGTGCCGACGTTTCGGTCGCCATTCTGCGACCTTCCTCAGGGCGTAATGCCAACGCAATGCCATCCCTAGCTCACATTACGCCCTGAGGAAGGTCGCAGAATGGCGACCGGAACGTCGGCACTTTCGCCATGGACGCGGCGTCACCCGGACAGCCTAGTAAATACTGACTCCGGCCGCGGAAGCCTACGCTCTCGCCTCGTGGAAGGTCGCACCCGCTGAGGCGCGCGTATGGGATTGCCTGTCGCGTACATCAGTTGCGGGACACAATCTGAACTTCCGATCGTCGCACAGGGAGGACGTCCTTTCTTCGTGGACGCAAAGGACCTTACTGTGGTGTGTGTTGAGGCCGCTGACGCCTGCCGGAGGCGAATGCTGCTAAGAGCTACAAACGTAGCGCCTCAAAGCGGAACCATGCGCTGAAGAGTTCCTCTCCGTCGTAATGGGGACTTTTGGCAAAAAGGTGAACGGAGACGAGCGCTGCCTTAAAGAGATTTTCCTCCAAGGATAAATTAAGACTTCTGAGAGAATAATTATCGCCAAGGCAATTTCGGATAGTGCCGTCTCCTACTATCGCCGCAGTTGCAGAAATGACCTTGCACCCAACGAGCACTGGGTCACTCCCCTCAGACGGACCGCGTGCAATCTTTCATTCCCATTCCTTCTTCCATCCTCACCACTTACACGCACTACACGTGTCGAGAGACCGGTCGCATCTTAGAGCTTGCCCCGGCTGGGGCGGCGCCCCGCTGGTGGGAGATACCTGGTGGTGGGATACGACGGTAGGCTGGCGCGGGGTCTCGCCATCCAGCAGGGGAGGATCACCTCCACCTTCCGAGCAAAAAAACCGCACTACACGTGCGGGAATAATGACCTTAGCAGTTGACGCGCCCGAAATCACTAATCAATCAATCAATCAACCCCAGGCGACTTGGTGCGCAGCGGATGGCTCCGCCCTCTCAGGTGTGACGCACCAGTGAACACACCCACCCGAGGAGCAGCGTACCAGAAAGGCAGAAGTTTTGACTGAGTAAATCTAAATCTAAATCTAAAGACGCCCCCCAATTTGCGTGCTGCAGCGACAGTGAGGGCGCCCCTCCAATACTACTGATGTCTGTGTTATTGTGAGTAAATGTTCAGCAGTAAATAGTGTCTTTGTGCACAGTATTTTTTCTCCTTTATTTTCCAGAAAGCGGCCGATGATAGTTAATCAATATGCTGCTTGTGTGTCGTCTCCTGCGACAAGGACTGATTACTACAATAGCAACAAACGTGTGTTTAGATACCACAAGTTAAAAAAAATTATATTAGTTTAGTATACCTCCTCCAATTTCATTTTTCCTTAAATCATTTTTACCACGTGTGTCATTCAGTTTTTAGACAGCCATACAGACATTCATTTTTATTTTTATTCAAGCATTCAAATCACACTTACACTCAGAAATCTGCTGTTGCGAAAAGGTCAGAAATAACTAATGGGATCAGACGAATCTCTTCCCCCCCCCCTTGTACTCACAGTTTTATCTGAAGATTTGAGCTAATCTTTTGGCACGCTTTACATCCCCTAAATGTAACTTTTACTAAGGCTGTCTAAAAAAAACAGCTAAAAGGGTATGTGTCCACCGATTTTAACTATGTGGACAGTTATATTTTATTAGATTTTGTTCGACAAAAGTATGTTGTCTAGTATGAAAACTTTTCATTCTTATTGTTGCCTAGAACCAATATTTTTAATCCTTAAGATCTGTTCGAATGCGTAGCGATCATCATCAGAGCTCATCTTGCAGCTTCTGGGCGGAAAACTAAGTTCTGGCAGCAGAATTTCCAAGCGCAACCTCGTTTTCCGCAACGCTCAGATACAACACGATTAGCTCTGACGATAATCGCTTCGCGATCGAACAGATCTTAAGAATTAAAATTACACAGGCCAACGACCAAAAGCCTATTTTTTATCGTTGTAAGTGTGCTGGTTCCAAAAATAACATTAAAAATGACGTATCACACACCATTTGTTCACATTTTAGCATTTTCTCTGTACAGCTAGGCAAATGCAGCTCTGAGTCTCTAGAAATGTATGAGATGTTGGAAGTTAGAATGACAAAGTACCAAGACGACAAAAAGGGCAGTAAAATATTTTTACATAGTGATCCTTTCCACTACCGCGTATCGATTGGCGCGGCGGTTTCTTATTGTTAGTAAGAGTCGCATTTGACAAGCAGTACCGTGTTTGTTTTATTTGATGCTCACGTGTTTGTGTTGGTGCTAACAATATAAGACACTATTTTGGCAGTTCGGGTTTAGTCATGGCTAGTCGTGGTTGTAAGAACAGTTCTGTCAGTTTTTGTGGTATTAAGAACCACCGACGGAACGTTTCAGAATTTATTCAAAATGTGTATTTTTCATATTTTTGAATTAAGCTGGGCGATCAGGCTAAATCTTGGACGACACATAAGGTACGGCATTTCAAACACAGGTTCCTAGGCAATAAAAAAGACCTAGACTATCAAGCAATTGTTGCCAATATGGGGGATGCTTTCAATAAAATTGGGATGTTTAATGAGCCTCAAAGTACACTTTTTAAACAGTTTTTTTAACTTTAGATACCGTGGTTTTGAAGCCACAGCCTGAGTCGTGGCGCGAATAAGATTTTGACAAAAAGATGATTCAACGATGTCTGGTGAGGCTGCCGGGGTCAAGCCGGGGCTCTGGAAAATCGGTTTGTCAACATTGCCTTCGCCTGTGCGAACGACGTTCGTCGTTGGTTTTTGGAGTAGAAACTGACTAGTTCACGGCAAAGCAATGGACATACGTTTGATAGCGTAGGTATGAATTGTGCTTATTTTGTACGATAATGTAATGAATGGCGAATTATACGTTTATAATAATTACAGAACCATGCCAAAATTCCGTTCGGTATTAATACAAATGGCTTAGTTTGAAAAAGAAAGGGGGATCCTGGAAGAAATTTGTCAGAAAGACCGTGGTTTAGGGATGAAGCGGTACTGTTATCAAATAATTAGCGAGAGGAGGCAAGCTTGGACGAAAATCTGCGAGGAATTCACCACATCGAGACCGAGCAAGCCTCCGCGAGATTGTGAACAACTACAAGGTAAGTTTTTGTGCCCAAATAGCGTGTTTTGTAGTAGCTCTAGTTTTCTATAAAATAAATACCTATCGACATATATCAGGATTAACTGAAAGCGTAATTCTATGAGTAAACATTTTAAATATAAATATTGTATATTCATTAAAACATTTTCCCTACTAGCAGTTCTGTTATTTTGTAACAGTGACATACTTATTTTTTGTATGTGATGTAAGTATGGCTTTCAACCACCCTTCGCCGAAGTCTGGAATTTTCAAGCCGCGGCCTTGAATATTCGACAAGGCCGCGTCTTATCAAGCGAAACTGAGATTTAAGGCTGTGGCTCGAAGAAACCGCGGCTCAGATCTCGTCTTAGAAATCCGCGTCAAATATACGTCAATGAACAGCGTACTTTAAAATTTAAAACGCGTTCGTAAAACCTTTGTAGAATGTCATACTAAGGATATAAAGCCATCTTCTATGTTTAAATAACGTTCTGTTGGTATGTTAAAAGACGTCTACTTTTTATTTGATTGAATATTTAGCAAATTTATCCATATTTTTCAAGATCAAATTGTGACTGTACTGAGGATGATGGAAACGAACAGAGCTCAGATGCAAATTCAGCGCTCAAATAACTATACAAATCATCTATCCATATTTTGAAAAAAGTTTGAGTTTTTGGTTGACTTGTGTTATTGACACAAGACATTTTTTCTCGAATTATCATAAGATGTCAGCCTGACCAGTAATATTATTAATTATTAACTTTATTTAAATTTTTAAGTACGCTGTTCAGAAATATGTATTGGGTACACATTTTCATTTTGAATGCCGCAAACAGTTTCACAACTCTATAGTATTTTTTTAAAAAAAATATTTATTTTGTTTTTCCTCTAAAATTTTATTTTTTGAACTTGGACAAATAGCTTTTCAATAGCTCTTTGCGCCGCCTCCAGGAGATAATGAATTATTAATAACCGTAGGTGATAAAGAGGTTTTCTAGCAGCTTTCGATTGGACATCAAGAATTGTTTTTAATTTTACGAATACAAAAACGAATAGCATTTCATTTGAAAAAAATAACACAAAACAAAAACTAATTTACTTGGATGGTTTTATAATACATTTCCTATCTCAACAGGAAGCGAAGCATCTCGCCTTGTGCAAACGTCACTAAAAACGAAAAATATGGAGAGGGCAGACATACCTTTTCCAGTGACTTCGATGTGTTTTTGAACTACGACATCTGCAGCGTAACGGTGAGACCATACGCTGGGCGCATATTGTTTATTCAGTTCCTGCAATATTTAATGTTTAGTACTTCACACATTTTAGTTCATCTTCCTCATAGTGAAATGTAAATATTTTTTATATATATGTATATACATATATACCTATACACACATACATATATTATATATATATGTCACAAACGCCAAAGAAAAAACGTTATAAATTTCGCTTTCTAAAAGAAACTAGCTTCTTAATTAACATGTTTTTTTTACTAATAATATAAAAAGGCAGTCGACGTATTGCTTCGCTGATAAAGGCAGAAGCGCAAATGAACCACATTAGGTAATTTTTCACCTCGCTCACGACACTGCAAGAAAGCGTTATTGTTATATGGTGAAATTCTCCCAGACTGCGGTCCTGTTTTGTTAGGAAGTTATTGTTTCATAAATTTGTAATTTTTTCCAAACAATCAACCATTGTTATTAACGAACGAACTGTCAAACGAGAACTAACGTGTATATCAGATGACGCGTCGCCTACATCAGACATTTTGTTTAAAAAAATCATTCCTTTTTTAATTAATGTATCTTAATTATATTTTAACTAGTACATCGCGTAGAAGCACCTTCAAATTGGATATTATACGACAGTAATAATTGTATTATTTCTATATTGC